GGCTGGCTGGGAGGATTTTCTACCCCTGAGGGCCAGGTTGATCTGTCCTGGCCTCCTCTGAACTTCCCCAGGACCTGGGGTCCACCGTAAAGCAACTGAGGGCTCATTTGTGTCTATAAGGTTCCCGCTTTCTGAACCCAAGTTGGGGGTCCTTGGCCCAAGTACCAGTGCACCTGGGTGACATTGAAACACGATACCTGTGACTGGGACTGCCTGGGAAAATGTGGGCTGTGGGCCTCCAACACTATACACCAGCTTGTATGGGCGTCTGAGTTATCCAGGGTGGTTTTTATTTGAGAAGTACTTGAAAACCCTTTTCTCCTGGGGCCTGGGAGGCCAAGGAGGACTCAGTCTAGAAGTGAAGGAGTTGGTTTAGTTTTCACTGAGGTCACAGAGAGGCCAAGCAGTTCCCACGGGGGCCACTGAATTCAAAGGAATATTTTGAAGAAACGGGGTGACGCTGTGATCATGATCATTTTAGAAGAACTGAAAGTGCCCTGAGGGAAGAGACAAGGCCCAGGTCTGTGAGGTGGTGGTGGGAAGGGCTGTGTGTGGGAAGGACCTGTGCACTGGCTGAGAAATCAAGACCTGATGTCATGGGCCAAGGACGTGGCCCCTTTCACTGAACGGCGAGTTCAGCCTCAGTCCCCGTGATGCTGGCCTGGGTTCTGCTCCCAGCCCTGCCACTTTGTCTCCCTGGGTCTCAGTATTCTCATCTCTAGAATTAAGAGGTTGAAAAAATAAATGACGGGGTTGGGCTACGTCATTTCCAGGTCCTTTTCAGCATCTTGAGTCCATCTGGGAAAATACGCCCAGTACTGTCTTACTGGGGACACTCCTGACTCGAGAGAAGAGCCCAGCTAACCTGGTCACTCTTATGCAGGCCTCCCGATGAAAGTTTTTTCACGTAAAGCAGAGGATGCGCAGGGGCCGGGAGAGCAGGGCTGTAGGTGGTTGAATCTTGTATGTTATGAAGGAAATGGTTCTGCCGCGTATCTCCAGGGAAACCCACAGTTCACCCCCCCTGCCCAGTTTGAAATGTTCATCAGGCGCATGCTTCAGGAGCGGGTCAATCTTGCCCTCCATGGGGAACCCCCGCCAGGTGCGGCTGTGTCTCCTTTCTCAGCTCTGGGTCTGAGTGTCCCCACCCCCGCAAAAGACAGACTTCTCATCTGGAGGCTGCCAAGCAAAGCAAGCTCTGGGAGGGTGCCACGTGCCACCAAGGTTTGCCCACCTGGAGGAGAGCATATCCAGCGTCAGGAGGAACCCCAGTGGCTGATCTATTGCTAATTCTGCACGGGCCGCTGCCCCTGCACACCTGACCGTGCAGGCACATACCTACTCCTAAGCCACCTGCATTTTTTAACAATTATTTTTTTTAATTGAAGTATACTTGATTTACACTCTTGTTAGTCCCAGGTGTACGGCAGAGTGGCCACCTGCATTTTGGAAAGTGAAATCTGAAATCAGGAGCTTTCAAATCAGAGTCTTCACTCGATTGCTAGACACAAAACATAAAGGAAGCAGGGTGACTTGGGTGGGGCCCATGTCTTGTGCTTGGGTGCTTTGGAGGGGCTGAGTTCCTCTAATCCATCAGGGACAGTGGCCTCAGTGTCCCCCCACCCCCACCCCAGCTTGCTGCACTTAGAAGCAAGAGGAGCTTGGACCTGCCCTGCACCCCCAAGGGCTGGAGGACACAATCACAGCCTTCAGGTTGGGTGTTCAATGGCCTCGCCTAAGCACACCTCATAGACCCACAGCCCACTTAAAATGTTGAGGGGGGGGGGGGTCAGGATAGCACACACCCAGGTCTGAGTCCTGAGCTTGCCAATGCTTTGAGGCAACTCTGCTCCTGAAGGACGAGCTAAAATATGTCATCCATGGAAGAGCTTCAGAAAAAGAAGAGATGATGGTTTCAGGAAGTCCAAGATGGCGGGCAGAGCCCAGAAAACCCACTCTGAAGATCCCGGCAGTTGGGAAGAGAAGAGAGGAGTCAGCACAGAACCAGAGGGAGGTCTACGGGCTCAAGTAACGGCCACAGGAACGGTCTATTTGGAAATGAAAACAGAGCCCTGCCATGAACTATACCTCCCAGCAGGCACGGTCGGTGTGAGAGGAGAAAGCACAGCCCACACTATGTTTATGTTTCTTTCTTCTGTTAGCAGGGTGTGACTTGCCTAAGCCACTTAATATGACCCTCAGTTTCATCTGTGAAATGGGTGCTCATGGATTGCTCAGCCCGAGGATCGAGTGACCTAACAAGGTAAGTGTGAAACCACACCACGTGGACTGAACTCTTAGGGGAACTCTTAAGTGTGTGACCCGGGAACGCTGATTCTAGGACTGACCATTTTGAGCAGAGGCCACTGCTGGGTCCCTCCCCGCATCCCGCCATGGAGATGGCCCCTCTTTCCAAGCAGGCCATGACTTGGAAAAGTAAAATTTGAATTAGGGAACCCATCACGCCCCTGTCCAGTTGGGGCTATTGCCGGGCTCTGTCTCCGTCTGAGGTTATCCTGGCCCTTCCCGTGCACATTCTAGCTGGGAGGGCCCACGTGAGCCCTGCCGCCTCCAAACTGAGGTCCCCTCTGAGCCCCAGAGCTCAGGCGGCTCCTTTCCCCCGAGAGCCTTCATCCCAAAGTGCGGCGTGTGAATACATGTAGGCAGCGGAGTTTTCAGGCTGCTTCCTATAATTTTCTGAAGACAGGAGCCCTGACTTCTTTCCTCGGGTCCCTCACAGAACATAGAAAAAGAGGCCCGCAGAAATATGGGCCATGCAGCATGGCTTCCTGGTCTTAGCTGCCGAGTTTTAACATTAGCCTTTTCTTCCTTTCTCCAGATTCCTATCAATCAGCTGGCCTCAGTCGTCTCACAAAGATCAGTGCCCATGTTCGTTTTCTGTAAACTGTTTAATAAATAAATACTTCACTTTACATCAGTGTAGCCCGTGATAAACCCACAGGAAACAAGAGCCACCAGCAGTGGTAGGATCAGAATACTTTAATAAGATAGCAGAGTGTCAAAATACATTTCCTTATAAAGTTAAGCTCCCGTATAGTAATAATGTTGTCAGTAGGAATTTGACATTTATGATAATGTTCACGAAATCATTATGCTGATAGATAAAGTTAATGTGAAGTTTGGAATATGTGTCAGAGTGTTTTAGTAAAACTGCAAAGGGTAAAATGCCCTTCATGCTGAGGCAAACACACAGAGAAAATCAAACACCAGCGCTTACATGTCAGTAACCCTTCAAGTTCTGCCGCCTGCCGTACGTGAGGCAGGGCTGTGGTGCTCGAGTAACATTTTTGGCAACACAGTGACTAGGTAATTTTTCTTTTGAGATTTAAATTTTATTTTGTTCGGGGCAGTAAGTCCATCCAGCCTTACCAAATTCTTGGCTTGCTGTGTTTTGCTTTGTGTGTTTCTAGAAACGTCTTCATTGTACCCGTGACGGAAAAGTTTCACGTGATTGCTATTCCGAAAACAAATGGCATCGTCCCTCTTACCTGGTGAGTTACAAGACGCTCTGAGAACACTGTTTTCAGTGCTTCCTACCTATACACGTCACTTCTGGGGACAGACAGACCTCAAGGAGGGCCAGGGGCTGTCCCCGGAGGTCTGCCTGCCGCACCTCGGCCGTGTAGGGCGATCTGATGGCGTGGCTGAGGAAGGGGCACGAGGATGCGGCTGGTCAGGACCAGGAGCCCCCCCGCCCCCCGTGTGCCCCCCTCAGTCCAGCTCCACGGGCTCCAAGGTGGTGAGCTGGGAGGATGTGGGCTGGGTCCCTCTACCATTTCCAAATCCTCACTTTCCTCTCTTGCATGAATTCCCACCTAAACCATCTCATGGTAGTTCTGGAAATATCCAAATGTGCCCCATGAAAGACCATTAGAGTCACAGAGCTCAGTGCACTTGAAGGGCTGGCAATGAAACCTGAGGAAGAGTTTAAAGCGCTCCCCCTCCCTTAGGTTTGTCCCTAGCCCCGCCCCCCTGACGTGCCGTCAGACCCTCTTGGCAGTAATAATAATACGTACATACATACATAATACATACAGAACACGAGGAGAAGACAGCTGGCAATGCTCCCACATAATGATTCCACTTTCTGGATTGTGTGTCACGCCTACGGCATGTCCCGAAAGCAAAAAAGGCAACAGAGAGGGAGACCTTGAGCAGGGTTAGTACAGGCCCGTGGAGTTCTGTACAATTCTGCAGTGTCAGCAACACCATGAAAAAGAAGATTAACAGCTTAAAAAAGATCTTAAAGTGATTTTGTGAGCGGGATTCCGTTTCTGAGTTTTTAGATATTATAAAGTACCCATATATATGATAAACAAACACTTAACCCAGATATAAATTCTGCTTTTAAAAAACTCAGTTATGTTTTTGAATAATAATAATTTAAAAAACTCCACCAAATGCAGGGGAAAAACACCAGTTTAGGAAAAGCCATACTGTGTAACTTTCGCAGACAACCACATACAATGGAGTTCACCCTTCACATTTGTTTTTTTCTCCCCCCAAAAAAGTCGTATCAAAATTAGAGCAAAGAGTTGGCTTAAAAAAAAAAAAGACTGAAATTTACAATACAGTGATTAGTTTTACAAAAGAAAGGAGGAGGGCTGAGAGATAGAGGCCACAAATCAAGCTTAGAAAGCAAAATTATTTTGTTTCTCTTTGGCAACAACAACAAAATCCTTTTAGTTAAATGAAGCCAAAGCTTTCCCTAAAGGAGAACAAACAAACATCCACCAAGCTTGTTTGTTTGTTAGTATGAATATTTGTGTGTGTGTGTGTGTGTGTGTGTGTGTGTGTGTGTGAGAGAGAGAGAGACCCGTGAATAATATAAATTAGAACTGAAGTTGGGGAAAGAACAACCTTATAAAATTTAAGAACATTTCCATTGACAGAACAAAACATAGCAGGTAAAACAATTGTATTTAAAAAATATGAATAATAAAGTGAGCATCTTCAGAAAAAGGCCACTACTTGGTGACCTGGGCAAGTTTGCCAGGTAAGTATATCTTGTAAAAAGTGTGTTGGTGTTAGAAATATCTAGTTGCAAAAAAACAGACGGAGACCGTGAAGCTGGTGGGACGGCATGGGAAGGGGGTGCCTGTCAGTGGGTGGCCCTGGCTCAGGTGGCCTGGTCCAGCGCTCTGAGGAGGTCCCCTCCTTGGAGGAGCGTGGAGCTTCCTGGGACAGGAACGTTCACCTCACAGTCATATCTGGTCAATTCCGGCAGCAGGTAGGGCTCAAAGGAGGGTCCGAGCAGCCGGCTTGTCATGCCTGAAAGAAGAGTTAGTGCCCTTATTTTCAAAACCCTAAATCAAACATTTGGAAAAGGGTCTATTCCGTAAGAGGCCAGCGTGGATGAGATGTGTTGGGAGAGCAAGGGGCATTTCCAAGTTTTCGTGACTGACTCGGGGGCAGAGGTGGGGCAGCCCTCATTTCACTTT